GCAAATTATTTAGCCATATAAGTAATTGCTGCCGTTTTCGGACCCGGGCCTTAGTCCAAGCGTCGTGGACCCACTTAGCACCTGTCGTAGGGAGTGTCGAACCAAGTTCCAGAGCAAAGGGGAGCACAAGAACCCGTCATTTGGAACCAACTGTCCCCACGGAGCACAAGGGGCTCGTCTGGAAACCATCAAATCTGCGAGGATTCAATGGACAGAGCCGCCAAGAGATTGGGTCACAGAACAGTGTGAGCTGAAAGTCTGCTCAGGCACCTAAACGGTATCGTTAGAAGTACTAGTATGGGTCGTGAAGTGCATAATGGTTTGCAAGTGGCCGTGGCCATAGATATTTAAAATGTGGTTTTGCTAGTTATGATATTAACTAGAAAAGATGTGTCCTATAGTCATATAAAGCCTTCAATTTGGAGCCTTGCCCTCGGCCGACCACTTTGTGGTATATGGTCTGGGACCGGCCTCACTACCCGGGATCGGACCCAGCCCTTTTTTTCCATTGGAGTCTGGACCAGGCTGTTACCCTTGGAGTGCCTGGAACCATTTCACTTTTACCCTAAGAGTCCTGGACCAAGGCTCTGTACCCTGAGGCATCAGGCCTCAAGTTACCTGAGACCTGGGCCCAGGCAATATGATTCACCCCACTGAAAACAAGACCTTGTTACCGGCCTCTGTGACCTGACCCTGGACGGGCCTCTGTTTCCCTTGAGAATTTGCCAGGCTTGATACCCTGGAGCCTTCGTGTTCCAGACCTCTGTTACCAACTGAAGATATTGGGACCAGCCTAGTTGACCCTGGAACCGGACCATGCCTCTGTTACCCTGGAGTAAACTGGACCAGGCCTCTTTTAAAACCCTGAGACCTGGACAGGCCTGTTACCCTGAGAATGGGACCAGGCCTCTGTTACCCTGGAGGCCTGGGACCAGGCCTCTGTTACCCTGGAGACCTGGGACCAGGCCTCTGTTACCCTGGAGACCTGGGACCAGGCCTCTGTTACCCTGGAGACCTGGGACCACGCCTCTGTTACCCTGGAGACCTGGGACCAGGCCTCTGTTACCCTGGAGACCTGGGACCAGGCCTCCGTTACCCTGTAGGCCTGGGACCAGGTCTCTGTTACCCTGGAGGCCTGGGACCAGGCCTCTGTTACCCTGGAGACCTGGGACCAGGCCTCTGTTACCCTGGAGGCCTGGGACCAGGCCTCTGTTACCCTGGAGACCTGGGACCAGGTCTCTGTTACCCTGGAGGCCTGGGACCAGGCCTCTGTTATCCTGGAGACTTGGGACCAGGTCTCTGTTATCCTGGAGACTTGGGACCAGGCCTCCAGGGATTATCCCTGGAACCATGAACACATATGTATCACTGGCTACTGGGTGCACACTTTTAGAGTGTTAAGGTGAGGGGCTTTTGCTACGAGGAATTGGACCTCAATTCCCCTTCCTTGGACCGAACATGAGTGTCTCCCATTCCCCCAGGCTCTATATGACCCCTAACAGTTTAGCGCTCCCCATAAATGTAATATAATACTAATTCATAATAATGTTGATAATTTTAATAATAATAATAATAATAATAATAATAATAATAATAATAATAATAAAGGAGAGCATTAACTTTATTTCCATTGCGCATAACGATTTTATTTTTTAATTAATTTACATATTTTTCCATTACGTTATTTATCTCAAATACTGCTCATCTCCTGTTCTTTTTATGTATTATTTTCACTTAACTTCTAACTGGCTTTTTCCTCCCTATTTCTGACCTGTCGTCTGGTCTTCAAAAGTTCTCGCTCAGTTATCAGTCGATAATGTTCAGTAAGGACCGAAACATCGTCTGAAGTTTCATCTCCTAACTATGGGGTCAATTTTAATTATTCAACCTTCGGTACTATGACTTATTCAATACGTTTTTAAAATTTAAATATTCTGTTTTGTTTTGAAGTTAACTAAGATGGTTGTCGAATTGTTGTGCATGGGTTTGGGGGCCTACCTGGGGGCCTACGCTGCCCAGAAGCTGGACGGGGCGCTGCCGCAGGTGCCGGGGCCCCTTGCTCTGTTACTCATGATGAAGAATGTCTTCACCGCTGACGGGGATGCCGTTCAGACACCTCCTTCGACCCCCGGAGAGCAGTCTCTCGCGGCCACCATGAAGCCTCCCAAGGCGCCGCCCGTGAGACGCAACTGATTCATTTTTCTCATTTCTTTTCTTTTACATAAGCTCGGAGACAGAGAGGAATTGAACCACCAGCGTCAGATGCCTCTCGTCCGGGTCTTCCTTGATGGAGCTACACTAGACTACGAGAGTCCTGCTCGATGTTGCTGTCTCTGCTGGAGCGGAGCCACACTAGACTACGAGTGTCCTGCTCGATGTTGCTGTCTCTGCTGGAGCCACACTAGACTACGAGAGTCCTGCTCGATGTTGCTGTCTCTGCTGGAGCGGAGCCACACTAGACTACGAGTGTCCTGCTCGATGTTGCTGTCTCTGCTGGAGCCACACTAGACTACGAGAGTCCTGCTCGATGTTGCTGTCTCTGCTGGAGCGGAGCCACACTAGACTACGAGTGTCCTGCTCGATGTTGCTGTCTCTGCTGGAGCGGAGCCACACTAGACTACGAGTGTCCTGCTCGATGTTGCTGTCTCTTGCTGGAGCCACACTAGACTACGAGGGTCCTGCTCGATGTTGCTGTCCCTTGCTGGAGCCACACTAGACTACGAGGGTCCTGCTCGATGTTGCTGTCTCTTGCTGGAGCCACACTAGACTACGAGGGTCCTGCTCGATGTTGCTGTCCCTTGCTGGAGCCACAGTAGACTACGAGGGTCCTGTTCGATGTTGCTATCTCTTGCTGGAGCTGCACTACCCCACGAGGTCCTCGTTAATGTAGCAGTCTTCTGGTTATTGTTCTTACGCTGTGCTGCTGCTGCTGCCGCCGCTTTTCTCTTGGTCTCTATCTCAACATTATCTTCCTACTGGTAATGTGTCTTAGTAGAAAATGCAGGCTGACGCGGGTCTTAGACGATAATAACAGAATAATTGTCACAGCCTCAATGATTTGTAAAAGGGCACAAGTGCAACTAATGTGACATTTTATTGTCGCAACGTTTCGCTCTCCAGGAGCTTTGTCAAGCCGTTAAAAACAATACATGGACACAGAGGATGTGTATAAGCTTAGAGTGAGGTGTAATACTAGTGGTAGTCGGTAATTCTACCAACATTAATACAACCTCAATGACTTTGACAGTCACAATCAGACAGTGGATGCTGAAGTTTACAAAGCCCCATGTAGAGACTAGCAAAGAGACAGCTGAAACGGAGGATACTGAAATAGCTAAATAGGAGGTAAAGTATTGAAAGTAAGCAAAGAGAGCATTAAAACTCACTTGAACTCAAGGGGATAAGTTACAGAGAAAAAGAATTAGAGAAGCAGTTCTTATTTCACAGGATCCGCGAAGAACAAAGAGGAATATGATCACTACATATAAAATACTAAGGAGGAATAACTAGGGTAGACGACAATGAATATAGTATATGATGTAATCGATAATTAATAATAGCCCATCAAGTATTATTATTTTATTGGGAAACTCAAAACCTGTAGGTGTTATGCAGCGCCTGGGGGATGAGGACATAAATGAAATAAAAACGAAGATCAAGCAAGAAATTGATTGAATGTGACAAATGATAATTCGCTCACTTACAAACCACTATCTAACACACACACACACACACACACATACGCACATCGGGGAAGGGCAAAGAAGACCGCAGACAGTATAGGCTAGGCGGCCAAAGACTGCAAACCTCACTCAAGGACAAAGATCTTGGGATGAGTATAGTGCCGAGCACGTCTCCGGAAGCACACATCAACCAGATAACTGCTGCAGCATATGGGCGTCTGTCAAGCAAACATGAGAATAACGTTCCTATACCTCAGTAAGGAATTGTTCAAGACACTGTACACCGTGTACGTCAGGCCCATACTGAAGTATGCTGCACCAGATTGGAACCCGCACCTAGTCAAGCTCGTCAAAAAAATTAGACAGAGTGCAAAGGTTTGCAACAAGGCTGGTTCCAGAGCAAAGGGGAATGTCCTACGAAGAAAGGTTAAGGGAAACCTTCCTGACAACACTGGAGGACAGGAGGGCTAGGGGAGACATGATAACAACATACAAAATACTGCGAGGAATATACAAGGTGGACAGAGCCAGGATGTTCCAGAGATGGGTCACAGAAACAAGGGGTCCCAACTGAAAGTTGAAGACTCAGATGACTCAAAGGGATGGTTAGTAAGTATTTCTTCAGTCAGAGAGTTGTCAGGAAGTGGAATAGTCTGGCAAGTGATGCAGTGGAGGCAGGAACCATACATAGCTTTAAGACGAGGTATGATAAAGCTCATGGAGCAGGGAGAGAGAGGACCTAGTAGCGACCAGTGAAGAGGCGGGGCCAGGAGCTTAGTCTCGACCCCTGCAACCACAATTAGGTGAGTATAATTAGGTACGTACACACACACACTTATCTGATAAAACCCGCATCTCCTTGTTTTTCTGCCTTGATTAAACAGTCTTACCACTTATTTTCATATGTCTAACATTCACTTTTCAACTGTATACAGATTCAAATAAGAAAGGAATAGAGGAAACAGGAGACATGAGAGGTAAACAGAGAAGTGGGAACATGCAAGAGAAGTCAGCCCACTAAAACAATGCTACCTTGTTACGCCGCTGTGACGTTAACGGGTTGCCTTCATATATTTTTACTTGAGAATTTCCGTAAAATATTTAATAGAACTATAATTCGTTTTCCTTGTATACAGTGTTAATGATAAGTTATATTTGCTTCACTAATTGGCTCGTTAACAGTTCAGTAGCTGTTTTTCATGTAAAACAAGTAATACACTTGCTTCAGGTTAATATGACGGCAAGACCGCCGACAGGGAGGGGATGGGTAACGGAGGGGAGATGGGATGGGATGGGATGGGTGAAGGGAGGGGAAGAACAGATAGGCACTATAAGGCACCAGTGAACATTAGTCTGTGAATAGTGAAAGACTGACTACATATTCTTATGGGAAACTGGATTAATATGTAAAAAACAAAGTGCATAGATAAATAATAAAGTAAAAACGAGAAAAGGAACTATGGGAATCATGTTTTAAACTCTCAGTTACCGTGTGCTTGCGGCACCACAGGTACTGAAAATTAAATCGAAGAAAAGATAGAATCCAATGTGGCTTACACAAATGCAAAGTATATTATAGCCTTATTGCCACTGTCTTGAAATCTATATACATGACTGTCCACTTACTGAGGAATATAGAAATAGGAAAATAACTTTAAGTCAAGGTATCTTATTAATGAAAATAAGAAACCAGATATATTAAAGAAAATATTACAAATTTGCTTGCAAAAAATAAGAAAAATTGTGGATATATATATATATACACCTAGATGTGCTCTCGTTATCTCTTTTCTGGGCCTAGTTTATAGGACTAATGTATATCCATATGTTCTTCCACAACCTGACGGATATGGGGTGAGCAATACATTAACCGCTTCGATGCCAAAATCTAAAGCAAAACTAAATGTGTGTAATTACCCATTTGTAGCTACGGGAGCAGAGTGGTGTCTCGTCTTCAGCAATTTGAAAGTGTCCAGTGGTTGCTATACTTACTACATCCTCTGTGCGTATGTGTGAATTTTCCAGAAAACACTGAGTAATGAAGCTCCCTTCCTCCTCATGCTCTTGGAAACATGTTAACACGATAATTCCTGCATGGCTGGTCATCCCTGCGGTAGTGGTGATAATTGGATTGCGTGAGATATTTGCATCTACAGTACTGGAGAATATATTGGAAATTCTTAATGATTAATGACGAAATGGAGAGAAGAAAACTCTTGACTCGGTATGTATACATAAAAGTATAATTTTGTACTGTTGTTTATATTATTATTATTGCTCATATTTATACCCTTGGTCTCCCTCGTCACTGAGTATACTGTATACACCGATAGATGTGTATACCTCGATGAATATACACTGAGAGACGTATATATGATCGGTTTATATATATCGACAGATTTATATCCCTCGGTGTATGTACATCGTTTATTTTCATCTCTATTTTAGGGATTAAAGTATCATTGTCTTGTGGTATAAAGGTGACAAACAGTTTTAATGACCTTGTGTAGTCGATAGTCTTGAAACCAAATTCATCAAACTAGGGTATACAAGACTTCCGAAATCGTAATGACACGATTGCAAACAAACCATACCACGGGCGGGTATAGAACCCGCGATCAGAGAGTCTCAAAACTCCAGACCGTCGCGTTAGCCACTGGACCAGCTAGCCACAATAAGATTCGTCCAACTAGGTATATTTCTACACAATAGGAAGGTTATCATAGACACCACTGTGACCACAAATGGAGATTCGTCTGTAAAAACTTGCATTTGTGGCCACAGTGGCGCCTATGCTAACCTTCCTATGGTGTAGAAATATACCTAGTTGGACGAATCTTATTGTGGCTAGCTGGTCCAGTGGCTAACGCGACGGTCTGGAGTTTTGAGACTCTCTGACCGCGGGTTCTATCCCCGCCCGTGGTATGGTTTGGTAGGGTATACAAGTTATGCTGAGCTTACGATCACCAACACCCACACTCTCAGCTACACACCCTCACCGACACCAACACACCATCACCTGCACATAGCATCACTTATTTACCTCCCAAACACCCTTACACTCACACACTCCCTCACTCCTCACTCCCCGTAGCTCGATTGCCCGTGGTTCGATCCCCGGTGTGGGTAGAGACACTGGGTGTGTTTTTAAGACACCTGCTGTCCCTGTTCACCTGCAGTAAGTACTTGGGTGTTAGTCGACTGGTGTGGGTAGCATCCTGGGGACAAAATGAACCTAATTCGCACGAAATGCTATACATAACCAGGGGCTTTCTATATCACTGATGTCAACTAGGTCTGTATAAGGTGTATTATGTACTTCACTGATGTCAACTGTATTATGTACTTGCAGAAATAAATATTAAAAACCCACATTATCTGATGTACTCACATACTCTCACACCTATAAACATCACATTATTTCTCCAAGAAACGAGCACAGGATAGACAGTAAGCAAAGTAAGGCACATAATAACAACACTGGAGTAATACCAACAACACTGGAGTAATACCAACAACACTGGAGTAATACCAATAACACTGGAGTAATACCAACAACACTGGAGTAATACCAACAACACTGGAGTAATACCAACAACACTGGAGTAATACCAACAACATTGGAGTAATACCAACAACATTGGAGTAATACCAACAACACTGGAGTAATACCAACAACACTGGAGTAATACCAACAACATTGGAGTAATACCAACAACACTGGAGTAATACCAATAACACTGGAGTAATACCAACAACACTGGAGTAATACCAACAACACTGGAGTAATACCAACAACATTGGAGTAATACCAACAACATTGGAGTAATACCAACAACACTGGAGTAATACCAACAACACTGGAGTAATACCAATAACACTGGAGTAATACCAACAAACACTGGAGTAATACCAATAACACTGGAGTAATACCAACAACACTGGAGTAATACCAACAACACTGGAGTAATACCAACAACACTGGAGTAATACCAATAACACTGGAGTAATACCAACAACACTGGAGTAATACCAACAACACTGGAGTAATACCAACAACACTGAAGTAATACCAACAACACTGGAATAATACCAACAACACTGAGTAATACCAACAACAATGGAGTAATACCAACACTGGAGTAATACCAACAACACTGGAGTAATACCAACAACACTGGAGTAATACCAACAACACTGAAGTAATGCCAATAACATTGGAGTAATACCAACAACAATGGAGTAATACAAACAATACTGGAGAAATACCAACAACACTGGAGTAATGCCAACAACACTGGAGTAATACCAATAACACTGGAATAATACCAACAACACTGGAGTAATACCAACAACACTGGAGTAATACCAACACCAACGGAGTAATACCAACAACACTGGAGTAATACCAACAATACTGGAGAAGTACCAACAACACTGGAGTAATACCAACAATACTGGAGTAATACCAACAACACTGGAGTAATACCAACAACACTGGAGTAATGCCAACACTGGAGTAATACCAACAACACTGGAGTAATGCCAACACTGGAGTAATACCAACAACACTGGAGTAATACCAACACCAACGGAGTAATACCAATACCAATGTAGCAATACCAACACCAGTGGAGTAATACTAATAACAAATAATTAATGTTGAAAATATTAGAACGAAGCAACATTATGAACGATAATGATGGAGAAGAAACTTGATATAATCTGTGTAAATGAAAATAAACTAAAAAAAACATGTTGTAAATGAGGTTTTATTTGATGGAAACTACTCAGAATGGAGAAAAGAAAGAAAGGAAGAGAAGAGGAGGAATGACAATATTGGTAAATGAAGCAAAAGAAATTTACGGAAATTCAAAATAATATTTATTGATAAAAATAAAAAAAAATGTGAATTTTTTTTTTTTTTTGTAATTCATTTTAAGCGCTTAACCCATGTGGGTCATTCAGCGCAAGACGTGGTGAAGGCTTGATCCTCCGTCTCCGTCTCCGTTGTTTAATAACAGTTGGCAGAGGAACATTCTGATAAGGTAAACGATGTATTAAAAAATATACTGAGAAAACTATTGACGGAAAGTAACCGCTAAAAGGGAAAAGTTATTGTATTTGGAAATTTTAACTAAAAAGAAATAAATTGTACAATCTGTGATGCTCGACCTATAAATTATCAACAGAATGCATCAATTTATTTACATTTTTTATACATCAGCACATAAATGAAGCTACACCAGTGAAATAATTCAGTACACCGTCATTATTAGACTGATTATTTATTAAAGAGAAGAAATATTCAACATAAACTATATACTTTACTGGAAATGTATATTAAATATGACTTAGGAGAGAAAAAGGGACAGACTAGTTTATAATAAAGGAAAATATAAAGCTTCAAGAGAGTATTTAACAGAAATTAAATGGAATGATTTATTACAAGGGACTTTTTTTGGGAGAAGAGTTTTGTAATATATGAAAACAGAATTAAGCAATTTATTCCAAATATAAATATAAATGTCATGTATTGAAAATAAGATCAAATAAAATTAGACCACAAGAATATAGTTTGTGATAATATTGAAAATATTAGATAGTGGGATATAAAAGTTATTATTTATTAACAATTGTCAATAGAATATCACAAACAAAACTGTGAACTTTCAAATAAATGGATGGAGAAAAGCTAAAAAAAAAAAAAAAAGCTGTTGGCATCATATATTAAGTCAAAACTGAAACATGATGAATGCAAGAAGTGAGAGGGAGCCCCGCTTTGCAGCGCTTTGCTTTGCGGTGTTTCTCTAATACATCAGTTTTCAATTACACCCATTCTTCGTTTAACCAGACTTCCTATAATAAATATATTCACCACTCACTATAAACTAAGGACAAAAATATTTTAAGGTACATAATGTGTGTAGTGTATATGCATTTTTTAGGCCCAGATGTATTTCTCAATTAATATACGATAGTGTAAATATGCTATCAGGCTTTTATATGCATTCAAAAGTGAAAAAAAAACAGCTATGTTTCACTTTACAGCAGAAGCCAGGAACCTAACCTGCTGTATAAGCGGGGACCGCCTCTGGAGTTTACCTGGAGTTTACCTGGAGATAGTTCCGGGGGTCAACGCCCCCGCGGCCCGGTCTGTGACCAGGCCTCCTGGTGGATCAGAGCCTGATCAACCAGGTTGTTGCTGCTGGCTGCACGCAAACCAACGTACGAGCCACAGCCCGGCTGATCAGGAACTGACTTTAGGTGCTTGTCCAGTGCCAGCTTGAAGACTGCCAGGGGTCTCTTGGTAATCCCCCTTATGTGTGCTGGGAGGCAGTTGAACAGTCTCGGGCCCCTGACACTTATTGTATGGTCTCTTAACGTGGTAGTGACACCCCTGCTTTTCATTGGGGGGATGGTGCATCGTCTGCCAAGTCTTTTGCTTTCGTAGTGAGTGATTTTCGTGTGCAAGTTCGGTACTAGTCCCTCTAGGATTTTCCAGGTGTATATAATCATGTATCTCTCCCTCCTGCGTTCCAGGGAATGCAGGTTTAGGAACCTGAAGCGCTCCCAGTAATTGAGGTGTTTTATCTCCGTTATGCGCGCCGTGAAAGTTCTCTGTACATTTTCTAGGTCGGCAATTTCACCTGCCTTGAAAGGTGCTGTTAGTGTGCAGCAATATTCCAGCCTAGATAGAACAAGTGACCTGAAGAGTGTCATCATGGGCTTGGCCTCCCTAGTTTTGAAGGTTCTCATTATCCATCCTGTCATTTTTCTAGCAGATGCGATTGATACAATGTTATGATCCTTGAAGGTGAGATCCTCCGACATAATCACTCCCAGGTCTTTGACGTTGGTGTTTCGCTCTATTTTGTGGCCAGAATTTGTTTTGTACTCTGATGAAGATTTAATTTCCTCATGTTTACCATATCTGAGTAATTGAAATTTCTCATCGTTGAACTTCATATTGTTTTCTGCAGCCCACTGAACGATTTGGTTGATGTCCGCCTGGAGCTTTGCAGTGTCTGCAATGGAAGACACTGTCATGCAGATTCGGGTGTCATCTGCAAAGGAAGACACGGTGCTGTGGCTGACATCCTTGTCTATGTCGGATATGAGGATGAGGAACAAGATGGGAGCGAGTACTGTGCCTTGTGGAACAGAGCTTTTCACCGTAGCTGTCTCGGACTTTACTCTGTTGACGACTACTCTCTGTGTTCT